GACATTGACGATATACCTTTTTACCTAACTGGGACTTGGGTGAAATAGTGCTATATTGCATCCACATGTCAACAAATTGATTTAATGGTGTAGTCAGCTACAGTTTAGCATTTTCCTTGTTCTATTTGATGATGAACAATGGTTTTAACGGATTCTTATAAAATGTGTTAGGTGAAAAAGTTTCCAATTATTTTGGACGAACTATAAACTGTTTAAAGAAAAGCGATTATTAAGTTAGATTACGAGAAGCCTTGAAGAGACTCTAACGAGGAAGAGGAGAAAATTGTGTTTATTGATTACTTAACTTGGACGACTTCATAAACATAAAAATCACGTACTTCAATTTTTTTGTTTTTTATTTTACAAACACGACATATATATATTGTTGTCACTAACAAAAATATTCTATATTGCCTTGGATAATGTGATCAAAAAGCAAATGAATCATGCATGTATATATTTATTATATCATCACAATACGCAATAATTAAACTTTTGTTCCTTATGAACTTATATTATAAATAAAGTCTCCAATAAACTACTAGTTGTGACGTCGTAGTATGAGATTATTTCTGATCGATCGACTTTCGTGTTTTCCGTCTATGCATTAATTTAACATAATGATTTGATTTGTTAATTTGGATTTGGAAGATTCATTTCTTCGTTACTGTTAAGAATCTGTGAATTGGGAAATATATTTAATTGTCTCTAGCCAAAAAGAAAAATGAGCTACTAGCAGCTTTGTGATTTAGTTACAAGTTGGAATTTATTTATAACAGAATTATATAAGAGCATAATCAATGGGAAGACTTAATAGGGTTGCTTAATAATTTTTTTTATTATAAATTATATTTAATTTCTTAGCAACTCATAGTTTGGATTGCTAAAATTTCTAAAATAAGCAACTTTCATTAGAATTGCTAAGAAAATATATTTATTATTTAATTATTTTTAATTTGTAAGCAACTTCTTACCTCTTCCCATTGATCCTGCTCTAATACGACGAAAAGACGAGGATTGCTAATTCGAGGGAGTAGTAATAATTACTATAATATACCAGCCAGCTTTTACATTAAAAGGCCTCGACGTCACCCAAAATAAATAAAATTAAAATACTCTAATATAATTATTTTTAAGGCAAAACGACAAAAAACACGCATATATCTCCCCCTCC